GGGGTTGAAGGGGGTGGTCAAGAAGGGCTATAACTTTACATGTATTTGAACTTTTTACTGAGATTTGATTCTTCTAATACTCATAATTAGCAACAATTTACCACAAGGAAGTGGTATTGCTGAACTTGCAGATTCTTGGTCCTCTTTCTTTAACTGCTTCCTAAGCCCTACTTAGCAGAGGTGGACCTGCAAATACAGACCCCAGGGGTGTACAGCATCGTGAAGCTCATCCCCCAGAGCCTGTAGGGCTGTTCTCTGGGGGAAACAATCCACCAAGGCACTTGTGTGCGTGTCTGTCTTCCCCACAAGATTGAGAGTGCCTCATAGACAGGAATGGGGTCTGCCCCTTTTCTCTCTGGCCCCCAGGCCTTGTCCTTAGAAGATGCTCAAAGGAGGTTACTTGAGTTGAACAGCATTGACTTGGAAATAAGTGGGGTGGGAAGTGTGTGTACATGTGCACACACAATGCGTATCTGTCTCAAGATAAGAAGATTTCGAGCCCTGGCCGGTTTGGTTCAGTGGTTAGAGCGTCGGCCCATGGACCAAGGAGTTGTGGGTTCAATTAAGGTCAATGGAACGTACCTCGGTTGCAGTTCGTCCCTGGCCCTGGTCTGGGTCGTGCAGGAGGCAACCGATCAATGTGTCTCTTTCACATCAATGTTTCTCTCTCTCTCTCCCACTCTATCTGAAGATAAATGGAAAATATATCCTTGGGTGAGATTAAACAAACAAAAAAAAAGTTCACTCTCATTAAGGTGCTGTAAATGTGTTGAGAGCTAAAAATAATAATAATAATAAAAGTCCATGGTTGAGCATCTACCCATGCACCAAGAGGTCACTGGTTTGATTCCTAGTCAGGGCACATGCCCAAGTTGTGGGCCTGATCCCCAGTGAGGGGCATGCAGGAGGTGGCCAATCGATGTTCTCTCATCAATGTTTTTATCTCTCTCTCTCTCTCTTCTTTCCTCTCTCTCTAAAATCAAAGAAAAAAATTAAAAATAAAGAAAAAGAAGTATTGGACTGGCTGTCCCCAGAGTGGCTGACCCTGGGAGAACAGACCAAGCCCATTCAAGTTTGTGGAAGGAAGAAGCCACGAGCGTGTTTTAGGTGGGAATGTTGTTGAAAGCAACACTGATGCGTGTGCAACAATCAAAGGGGAACCTGTGCTCTCTTAGGCCAGTGGTAGGTGGGGCTTTGGGAACCCAAAGGGTCTGATCTGATCTGTGTGCCTACCCTGGGCAGCAGAGGAGCCTACCTGCCCTCATCAATGAAGTCAATGGCCAGGGTGCTGATAATGAAGACACACAGGCCGGCGATGAACATGTGGTAGATGGTCCGGAAATGCTGCACCTCCATCAGCTCACTGGAGGGAGAGGGGCCTGAATGTCCATGTGGAAGGGTCCTCAAGGTCATGTGGACTAGCTCAGGCGCTGTATACATGTGGGGACGGGGCCTAGTGATTGGAAATTCTAAGGGCTGGGATGCGACCAAAGCCCTTTCCATCCCAGACACTACTTATCCTGGTGGCCTTTCTTCCACAGTCACACCCAGGGCAAATGGGGAAACTGAACCTTAAAAGCCCTTTCCAAGTCCTCTCCCAAACCACCTAGAACCTGGGGGTGAGAACCGAGGTACCCTGGGCTCCCAACCATAGCCCTTTCCTGTCCTCCCACCGCCTGTCCTCATCCTCGACTTACTCAAGCAGGGACTTGCGGATGATAAAAACTTTCCGTTTCCTCAGGGATGGCTCCTGGGTCCTGAATTGAGATAGTTGTTCTGGGTCAGGACTGAAAGGAAGAAGGCAGTGGACAGAAGGCAGGGCCTTGCAGAAGATCGATACTTGGGCACCAAGGGTAGTAGTAGCAGAAGGCCAAGTCTAGGGCCATAGGGCAGGACCAGGCAGAAGGTCAGGGCCAGGGCAGAGCAAGGCTGGAGGTGGAGGTCAATGCCAGGAAGGCAGAGGCAATAAAAGGAGAAGAGGGAAGGTTGAAGTGAGGGTCACACCAGTGCTGGTGAAGGGCACATGAGATGATATTTATGGCTTATAATCCTACAGCGGAGGAGTCTGCTCCAACCATTCTTCAGCCCCTGGCTCCTCAGACTCTTACTTGTTTAGGGAATCTGGAGGAATGGTGGGCAGAGGTCTGCCCAGTGGTGGGTAGGACTGTATGGCCTCTGACATGGCTTGGTCCAGCAGCCCCAGCAGCTGTCTCTGTGCTTGCTCCAGCAGCTGCGTCTTCACAGCCTGCAGGACAAAGCAGGGCCCACCGACCCTCCATCCTCTCATTCACCCCACACTGACTGAGCTTCTCTCCATGCACACGAGTGCTAGGGGTAGAAAGCACAGTTCATGCCCATAAATTCCCCAATAATTGATCTCCCTCTGGCTCCCCAGGGCAGCAGTGACAATCAAGGAGAAACAGCAGTAGTGACATGTCCAGTCCCAACCTTGTCATCTCCGACTTGACTCTCTTCTGCCTGACCCCAGCCTTCCCTCTCCTGACCTCTAGCCCCACTAACAGAAGACTGTTCACTGGCTGACGCCTTTTGGCCCCTGCCCTGACGACCGAGCTGTGTTTCAAACCCCTTCATCTTAACCCTTAGCTCTAACCTGACCTGAGGGGCTTGAACCCAAGAACAAATTGTCTTTATTGCCAAACTAGTCTTCACCCCTACCTCCCTCCACTATGGGACCTGTCCATCGTGACCTCTGACCTCTGAGGTCCCTCACCTCCATATGTTGGATCCATTGCACCAGGTCAGGGCCTCTAAGCACCTCAGCGGTTCCTAAAAGGAGGGGTCAGAGGGCACACCCAAAGGGGAGGAGTTAGGGTCCTGCTGCCTGGTGTAAGCCCAGAGGCATCCTTTGCCAGGAAATACTTTCTGTGTGCTCAGCAGCCTCCCATACCCTCAATCAGAAGATACATTGTACGTGGGTGGGACAGTCAGAAGGGGAAGTTATTTTGTCTGGGAGTGAGGAGACCATTGGTAAGCAGGGAGCCTGGTGACACTACTGGAGAAAGGGTACTCAGGGAACAGGAAGCCTCTCGACTCACCCTCAGAGGTTAGAGAGTCAGAGAGACAAGGCAAGGCCACAGCTCTGAATGTCCCTTTCCCCCTCCATCTCCCAGCTGGGTGGTTAGGGGCAGAGGCCAGAGTCTGCCTTCCCAGGACAGCAGGAAGGGATTCAGGTAGAGAGCAGGAGCCAGCTCCCTCTCAACATGGCAGCCTCACCTCCAACCCCACCGGAGCTTTCTGCACTCCCATAGGGTGGCTCACTTCCTCCCGAGGCTGCGTCTTGCTGCTCTGTCCTTGGCCCCGTTCTCCTGCGCTGCAGTCGGGCTGCCCTTGGCACCATGATGTGAGTCTTGACTGGGCAGCAGGTGGCCTCTGCTGTTTCCTCCTTTCCTTCACAGCCTGCCAACCTGCTGAGTTCCCATCTCTCGGCTCAGCTGACAGCTCCAAAGATTAAAGTCCTTTCAGGAGGAGGGGGCCTCCAGGAACATGATAGGTTATCTTCCCAGCTACAGGCTCCGTGGGCTGTCGCAGGGATGGACTGGATGCAACCCCGCAACAGCCTAACCACTATGCAGATACCCAGCTCTGAGCAAGGGTGCTCTCCTCCGACAGGAATAGTGACTATGCATGTGGTGGGAAGGGGGACTTTGCCTCTCTGGGGCTTATCACCTAAGAGAGCATGGTTCACCTTCCCATCTCTTTCCCAGTAGGCTGAAGGTCAGGCCGAGTCAGAAACCTCTTCAGGTATCAGTACACCCAGCTCTCTTAAACCATGAGATAAGGTGTGTGAAAGAAACTTATCAATTTGAAAGCATTGTATGCATGTGATTTTTATTCTGATGGGGTTGACACCTGTGACAATTGTGTTGCTGTGGTCCCTCCAGGAAGTGCTAGGTGCAGTGTTCTTGAATGTCAGCTCTAGCATGTGGGCAAAACAAACACATATTTAGCACCTAAGGAATGCCAGGCATTGTCATATATGGAAGAACAAGATTTAAATCCTCCCTTGATCATTTCCTGGCTGTGTTATTTCAGGCAAATGACCCAAATATTTTAAGCTACAGTTTCCTCCTTTGAAAAACAGGGGCAACCGGCTCAGCGGTTAGAGCATTAGCCCTTGGACCAATGAGTCATGGGTTCGGTTCCGGTCAAGGGCACGTACCTTGGTTGTGGTTCATCCCTGAACCTGGTTGGGGTCGTGCGGGAGGCAACCAGTTGGTATGTTTCTCTCACATTGATGATTCTTTCTCTCTCCCCCCCACTCTATCTAAAGATAAATAGAAAAATATCCTTTGGTGAGGATTTAAAAAAAAACAAATAAATAATAATGTCCTTCCCTTTTCAGCAGGATGTAACAGAAGAGTAAGTACTTTGAGAGTTTCTCTTTGTTAGGTTCCTGCTGGAGATTAACTATTAATTCTTCCTCTCCCCTGTGTCCAAAGATCATGTTAGAAACAAAAGCACAGCCTCAGCCCTGGCCGGTTTGGCTCAGCAGTTAGAGCGTCGGCCTGCGGCCCAGAGAGACCTGGGTTCGGTTCCCGCTGAGGGCATGTACCTTGGTTGCAGTTTGTCCCCGGCCCTGGTTGGTCGCGCGGGTGGCAGCCACTCGATGTGTCCCTTTCACGTCGATGTTTCTCTCTCTCTCTCTCTCTTCCTCCCTCTCCCTCCCACTCTATCTGAACAAAAAAATGGAAAAATGTCCTTGAGTGAGGATTAAAAAAAAAGAGCACAACCTCAGTCCAAGGCCATGGGCTCAGTGTCTCCCTACCTCTATCTCCTGACCCCCTGAATTTCTGGTGGGTAGTTGGGAGAGGCTTCAGGGCTTGAAGCCTCTGCCAATAGCTGCTTCCTTCATTCCAAGTGCAGCGGGAAGGAGCAAAGGTAGTCCACAGGAAAGGAGAACTGCTATAGGGGAGCTTAAAGGGGGAGAGAGAAGGGGCAGGGGCTTCAGAAATGTGAGAGGCAGACATAGAGACATAAACCAGAGACCCCCAACACGGCTTTATTAACACCCCAAGCCAACACCAACAATCTTTCCATGTGTGATGTCCCAGGGATGAGGGGGACAATGGGGCAGGACCTGAAGGTGGAGTGTGGGACTCAGGGCGCTGAGTTACTCATTACTCAACAAATGACCCCATATGACAGCCCCATACTCCTGCCAGTGACCCTGCGGGTCACCACCCAGCCTTAGCCACTGCTCCCGGTGGAGCAGGGAGAGCCTCCATTGCTGTCTGAGGATGCTGGCAGGGGCTGGCCCATCCGATCCACGCACCAGCAGGGACCTCGGCGCTGCCCCTGGGAAGAGCGGCACTGGGGAGAGAGGCATACAGATCAGAGGCGAAGCCAAGGCTCCAACAGGAAGACGGGAGGGGTCCAATGGGTGGGGATAGGTTATTGACTCCTGAGTCTGAGTATGTAGAAACATCCAAGAGTTCTTAGGACCATGAGTACTGCTGGGTTCTCTTCCCTGGCTCCTCCTTCTCTCCACTCACAAGATTGTGCCCATTCTTCTAGGCCACAAAGTGTAGTTCCCAAACCAACAGCATCAGCATCATTAGGGATGGAGTTAGAAATGCAAATTCTCAACTCAGGCTGGTGTTGCTCAGTGGTTGGAGCATCAGCCCAAATGCCAAAGGGTCTCCATTTTTATTTCTGGTCAAGGTCAGGTACCTGGGTTGCAGTTCAATCCCTGGACCCAGTCAGATCATATGGGAGGCAACCAATTGATATGTCTCTCTCACATCAATGTTTCTCTCTCTCTCTCTCTCTCTCTCTCTCTCTCTCTCCCTTCCACTCTCTCTCTAAGAATCAATGGAAAAAATTATCCTCAGGTAAGGATGAACAAAAAGCAAACAAACAAACAACAAGAAATGCATATGCCCTGGCCAGTTTGGCTCAGCGGTTAAAGCGTCGGCCTGTGGTCCAGAGAGACCCGGGTTCGGTTCCCGCTAAGGGCACGTACTTTGGTTGCAGTTTGTCCCTGGCCCTGGTTGGTCGTGCAGGTGGCGGCCACTCAATGTGTCCCTTCATGTCGATGTTTCTCTCTCTCCCTTCCTCTCTTTCCCTCCCACTCTATCTGTACAAAAAATGGAAAAATATCCTCGGGTGAGGATAAAAAAAAAAAAAAGAAAAAAGAAATGCATATGATCAGGTTCTGTGGGTGGAACTCAACCACCTGTGTGTTCACAGCCCTCTAGGTGACTCTGATGCGCCTCACATTTGTGTACCTCTGAGTTAGGCGCATGCCTTAGGCAGTCTAACTCCTCTACTACAGTGTGTGGTTGGTTATTCTCTGTTTGTGTGGGCCCGGAAGTTGGGAGATCCTTAAAGGTAGGGCCAGTGTCTTATTTATGCAACTGTATGAGCCTCCCATCCCTGGTAGGAGCCTTGTACTGATGGACCAATGGGGAGAGAGGAATGGCCTCACCTGCCGCTTCCGGTAGAAGCCCCGATAGTCACAATTAGGCACGTAGAGGGTGTGAGAGCCTCGGAAGACTTCAGTCTGAAGTTGCTGTAGCACTGAGTCCAGATGTTTGCGGCATGGGCCCTGGGGGAAGGGAGAACAAGCAACTTACTATCTATCATTCCAGCTGAGCTCCACTGCACAGTCCCCTGGCCCCACCTGCCAAGCTCCCAGGGCTAACATGGGAGAATTCTCCGAGCACAAGGAAGCAGTCTCAGATGGCTATCTCCAGGGCTCCCCGCCCCTCCTGCTCCCTGTCAGCCCCAAACGCACCATCTCAGTGTCTTGGACACCCCCAGAATTGGGCCTGGAGGGAGTGGTAGAGGTCCCCGGGTTCCTCTGTTGGTCTCTGCGGTTCACGTCCTGTTGGCGAGTGGTCCCCACTTGGGGTTTACTCTCCTTAGGATTCTCCCCTATAGCCACAAGAGGATGGGGGAAGAAGAGGCCGGAAATCAGCCTGATATCAAGGGAAAGAGCCTCACTCACCCCTACCCCCTGAAGTGGGAAAGAGAAGGGCTTCTGGAGAGTAGAAGTCCACTGTTACCTTCTCCTGGCCTCAGCCTTTTTCTCTGACAAGTGCATTATTACCTTTCCTGACAACATCCCCAAACTAGTTTTAAGGCTTATAAGGGATAAACACTTTGGAAAGCAAAAATCACGAATAACAAATACAACTTTTGCCCCTTATCTGTAGTTTCACTTTCTGTGGTGTCAGTTATTTGCAATCAACTGTAGTCTCAAAATATTAAATAGAAAATTCCAACAATAAACAATTCATAAGTTTTATATTTCGAGTAGTGTGATGAAATCGCTCGCCCTCTTGCTCCTTCCTGCCTGGGATGTGAATCATCCGTTGTCCAGCGTCTCCACGCTGTCTATGCTCCCCATACGTTAGTCACTTATTAGCCATCACTGCTATCAGATCAATACTCACGCTACCTCAGTGCTTGTGTTCAAGCCACCCTTATTTTACTTATTAATAGTCCCAAAGTGCAAGAGTAGTGATGCTGGCAATTCAGATATGCTAAAGAAGCCAGGAAGTGCTGCCTTTGAGTGAAAAGGTGAAAGTTCTCAGTTTAATCAAGAAAGAATGAAAATTGTTTGCTGAGGTTGCTAAGATCTACAGTAAAATGGATCTTCTTCCCAGAAATTGTGCGGAAGAAACTCATGAGGGCTTTGCTGTTGCATCTCAAACTGGAAAAGATATGTCCACAGGAAGTGCTTAGTTAAGATGGAAAAGACATTAAATTTGTGGGTAGGAGACACAAACAGGAAACACGTTCTCTGGTTCGCAGGCCGACGCTCTAACCGCTGAGCCAAACCAGCCAGGACTGGAAACGCGTTCTGATCGAAGGCAATGTGTTGCAACAAAAACACAGTAAGCCTTATATGAAGACTTCAGCAAGGGAATCCCCTGATACAAGTGACGCTAAGACATTTACTGAGGGTAAGGGATGGTTACACAGATTCAGGACAAGGTTTGAACTGAAACGTATAAAAATTATTGGGGAGGCTGCATCTGTTGGTGTAGAAGCTGCTGCCACATTTCCCGCTGAGTTGAAGAAGCTGATTAGGGTTTGGTATTGCCCTCAGTTTCAGTCATCCACTGGGGTCTTGGAACATATTCTCTGGATGAGAGGGGACTACTGTACATTGAGAGGCCTTGGGGTGGGGTGAAAGACCTGGCTGTTTTACCAGAGGCCAGCAGGGGGTGCACCAAGCCAGGGAGATGGGGCAGAGGAGCAATGGGTGTGGGAGGGGTCAACATCCACCCAAGTGGAATGTGTGTCCCTGCTGTGACCCTGTTGTGACTCAGCCCACTTCTCCCATGCCTGAGATGTGGTTACTTTTGGGACAGTAGGGGCCTCTCCCTTTGCCTTAGCCCAGCTCAACCCTAGTTGTCCCAGGCACCTGTGCTATTCTGTCCTTAACAAGGACCAGCAGAAGGCAGGTTGCAAAGGTGCAGGAGTGAGGGCCTTTCAACCTGCAGGTCACTCCTGGCTCTGGGGAAGTTTCATATATGGTGTCTGTGGGGCCTGAGGCAGGCTCAGTATGGAATGAGATGAGGACATAAGTTAGGGTGCGAGGGCGAGGGGAAGGCAGGAAGCGGGGCATAAACTGCTTGGACTTCACCCAGCTGAACAATAGATCCTATGACCCCTGAAGGGATTGTCTCTCCCTCTCTGTGCCCAAAACAAGCTCTGCTTACGGGCCCAGTCCTCAGACAGAGAGAGTGCCCTCCTCCGCCTGCTACTTACAGCTGGAGCCACTTCATCTGTGGTCCCAGTGTGATTCTCCCTCCTCAGCTCTTACCCCTCATTTCCTCCATTTAACATCCAGACTATGCTCCTACTGCCTCCTCTGACCCACATCGACCACCCCTTTTAGGAGGACCCCTAGCGGCCTGGACGCTTGCATCTGGGACTGAAAGGAACTCCAAGTTAATTTCCCATCCCTTCCTATGGAAGAAACCGGAAGCTCAGATGCCCCTGAGGTGGGGAATGTTTGCATTTCCTGCCCTCCCCAGCTCCCTGATGCCCCCCATCTTTCAGTTCTGACTCACTTCTGTCCCACCCACCCACTGACTCAGCCTTCTATTCTCCACTCTGGGGTGGGGTGGGTGGCAGCTTTAAATCATAACCCTGAGTTGGCAGATTTCTTCTTTTCCCACCTCTAGTCTCCATCAGCAGGACCCCAGCACCTACCCTCTGACCCTGGTGTAGTCTGAAACAACTCCGGATTGAGGGTATCTTGTGTTCTAGGCCCCACGTTCAGGTGCTTTGGACACCCCAATATTGAAAGGAGAGGAGGAGATATTTCTCAGTGCATGCAGGTTTGGGGAGTCTAGTGTTCCACTCCCTCTTCCTCCAAGCTGAGAACATCTGGGTCCCTTCTCCAACGTGGGGGTCTAGCAGTGAAGGAGTTGGGCTGCTGTGGCATACATATAGCATGGCCACAAACCCCTCCGTCTCCCCATGTCTTTCACCTCAAGAGAAATTAACAGAGGAGCCAAAAAAGGTTGAGAGCTCAGACACCTCCCTGCTTTATCCCCAGGGCCCCTAGCTGCACCCCAGCCTTCTAGCTGCACCTACCCCTTTACCCCTCTAGCGTACCCCCCAGGGTTGTGGGAGTAGACGCGTCAGTGGAAGGACCCAGAGGCTTGTAGGGTTGCGCGCGCCCACCTCTCCAGGACCCTGCCTGAGAGAAGCGGGTCTCACGTGGACGGGGTGCGGACTCACCCGTGGGCGCGCGCGCCGGGCGGCAGCGGCCTCGGCCCAGCAGCAGCGCCCGCAGAGGAGCCTCCTCTTCCTCCGGCGGCTGGCACTGCAGTCCTGGGGCGCAGTTAGGGGTGTAGACCCCGCACTGCTGCCCCTCCCTCCTGAGGCAGCCCCCAGCTTCCGCACAACCCTCTGCCGGCTGCCCCGCGCCCTCCTCTTCCACGCAGCCCCCTGGACAACCCGCTTGCACCCCCTGCCTGCAGCCTGGGCACCGTGCCAAGGCGCCTGCAGGGCGGGCAGCGAGCAGCAGAGTTAGCAGCAGCAGTGGTGGCAGCAGTCTGTGGGGGGTCATGGTCGAGATTTTTGCTGGGTCCACTCCTCCCAGAGCAACCGTAGCGCAGCTGCTGCCTGCCGCCGCCCCTCTGCCTTAAATAGCCGCGGTCAGGGGCCGGCCCTTTAAGAGCCAGGTGAAGGGGGGTGTGGGGGAGAGGCATTCCCTAAACTGGGTGGGACTGCAGAGGCTCCCCCCCAACCTGGGTCCTCCCCACTCTTCTTCCCCGCTCTCGTCCCAGTTTCTGTTTACTTCCAAATTACTCTGATTTTTCTTGCTTTGTTCCCGGGAATCTCGCCCGGAATTTGGAAGAAGGGCAGTTGGCCCGAGGGCCTGGAGGACGGGGAGGGGTGAAAAGAGGAGAAGACGGCAGTTGGGATGAAGGAAAAACCTGAAATCCAATTAGTGCAGGGAGATACCGGGGAGTCGGGGACTCTGGCGGAGAGTAAGACGATTGGGTGTAAAAGTGGACCGAGAAGGGATGGTGTGGGGGGGTCATGAGAGAGCTGGGGGTAACTGAAAATAGAAAAGAAGCCGAGAAGATGGATAAGCACCGACTGCTGATGGGAGAAAGTAAATTAAGGGCAAGGAGCGGAAGAGCACTGCTAGGGGAGGGGAAGAGAAGCTTCCTGAAATGCGACTGTGGGATAACAGGTGTCAGGGGGCCAGACTGTGCTACGATGATAGAAGGGGTTGGCGGGCAAGGGGTGAGGTGAGGAGGCACACCTTGAACGAACCCTCAGAAACCCTAATATTGTGGTGGGGCCACGGGAGTCTGGAAGTATTGCGGAGGGGCGAATGTGCCCGGGTGCGAACTGGCTGAACACCTGGGAGGTGGGGATTGGCCATTTGAAATTATGGGGAGTGGGCAAAAGTTAAAGAACCCATACTCTGGGTGCTCTTGGGAACAGTTGCCAGAGAGTAGGACACCCCAACACCACCACCCTCCCTCCCCTCATTCAAATCAGCCTATCCTCCATTCTTTTTGTCTCAGAACCTGTCTCATTCTGTCCCTGCCCAGTATCAACCAGTGGGTTATCTGGACTCATCAGGCTGTGCTATGCCCAGGGCTGTCCCATGGTGACTGTTCTGGGTATTTCTGTCTGCCTGCTCAAGTGTCTTCACTACACAGCTCTGTCTCCTCACCCACCACTGCCCTTACCCATGCGCTAACCATCCCCAACACTCCTGGCCCAGCCTTCCTTCCTAGAGGGAGGAGGAAGGACAGTTTCCTTCAGCAACCCACACCCTTCTGGCTCTGGGTTACGAAACAGCCATCTCAGACTTTCCTAAAACAAGGGCTCTGGACAGTAACTAAATTTAAATTCTGGGCCTCCAAGCAAGAATGTCAGGGCTTCCTGAACTTTTGGGTAAATACAAAATAAAAGAACCTCATTCCCAGCACTGCCCTCCAGGCCTACCCTGGGACCCTAGAACCCACATTTGGGGAGTAGGGTCCTCCAGCAGCCCTGAGACACTGATGCAGATTGGACAGGTAGGGAGAGTTTGGGGGAGTGGGAAGAGGTAGCTCTCCTCCACTCTGCAGAGGCTCTGTGACCTCCTGCCCCAAGCTCTGACCCCAGGGTGCAGAGCTCTGTCTTGTCCCGATATCCGTATCACTTTATTTTGCTCTGCACATAGTTCTGGCAAGGGCTTTTCTTTTGGGCTTCAGTTCCTAGCTCCTGAGTAAGACAGAAAGGCCTGTGAGAAGTTGGGATGGGGATGAGATGGCCGTGTTCCCTGCAGGATCTCAGTGTGGCTTTTTAAATGTGTTTGTGGCCTGGCTCTTTTGCTCAGTGGTTAGAGCATCGGCCTGCAGACACAAGGGTTGCCAGTTAGATTCTGGTCACGGGTTAGATTCCATACCTGGGTTGCAGGTTTGATCCCCAGCCCTGGTCAGGGTAGCGAGGGAGGCAACCAACCAATGTGTGTGTGTCTCTCTTCCTCCCTCCCTTCCACTTTATCTAAGAATTAATGGGAAAATATCCTCTGAGGACTTCCGGTCAAGATGGCGGCGTAGGTAAATGCGGTACTCACCTCCTCCCACAACCACATCAAAATTACAACTGAACTTCAGAAGAAACATCCTTCAGAACCGCCCGAAATTGAGCTGACTGGAAGTCCTACAACTATGAAGTTAAAGAAGCCACATCGAGACTGAATGGATCGCAAGTGGTACCTCCATCTTTGCTTCACCCTCTTCTGACCTGAATTCTCATTCAGTTGTGGAACTGGCATACCCAGTAAGCACCCAGTCATATGGAACCTAAGAAGTTGTTTTTCACTTCTATGTTAGGGATGAACTCATCAGACGATGAGAATCCTCAAACACAGAAAGGGTGTTCAAAGGTTATCTTATCTTACCAATTTGGTTTACCACGTAAAATACATAACACTCAATAAATGCCTTTTGATTTATTAAAAAAAAACAAAACACAACAAACAAACAAAAAAGAAAATATCCTCAGGTGAGGATTAACAACAACAACCAAAAAGTGTTTGTACTCCTCCTTTGTGGGTTATATTTGCAAAAAAGTCCAATACTCTGCTAGCCTCTCACATCTATCACTCTCTTCTCAATACTCCCTTCGCAAACTCCCCCTCCCCCCTGCCACATCTCTACCACCACCACCACCACCCCTACAGATTTCCCCTGTTTAATGCTCCCATCTGCCCAGCTTGGACCCTCCCTGCAGCCTAAACTGGGTTGCACAATCCAGTATCAATCACCACCCCAGCACTGCACTTCCCCTTCCCCATCCCTCCAGCATGGAAGTCCAGAGCTGTATGCTGTCAGGCTCTTTCTTGCAGACTGAGACTCATGAATTTTGCTTCTCTTCCCTTTGGGATGCCCTTCACCTCAGCATCCAGAGTAGGGATCTGAAGCACATAGTGGGCACTCAGGATGGAGTGTGGGCCAAGGTGCAAACCCCTGGGAATCTGTCTGGCCTCTGGGTGAGAGGAGTTTGCTGAAAGCTTCTGCTAGGGCTGTGAAAAGGCTAGACAGCTTGGACTTTTACTTAGGCTTTTCCATAAATAAACTCTGCCTGGACTTCCTCCTCCTTTTGTATGTAATATTCTGTTCTCCTGGTCCCTTATGTTCTGTATCTCGCACCCAGCCTCTCCCTCCAAATCCATGGCAGCTCTAGGAAATGACTTCCTTTTGAGAATAAGGCTATAAAGGAGGGAGCCTGGCTGCCTGGACTCTTTTGATCTTGAGTCTGAGGAAAGACAAATGGTGGCATAGTCCATAGACAAACAAACAAACAAACAAACAAACAAAAAAAAAAACAGAGAGAAGGCTCAAGAACCACATCATGACATGCACTAAGTATGGTGTGGGCCTGATGGGAACTGTTGTGATAATCTCAGCAGGTCTCCAGCCTCTGTTTCTGCCATCTGTCCCATATACAACCTCCCACTTTGTCCTTGCGGGGCAAGTCTTGCTACTGTGATCTCTCAAAGGCCTTTGGTGGTACTCCATACCCCCCACCCCCCAGAACCTATGCTTCCATCTGGCATTCGTGGCCCTGTAGACAATGACCCTGGAAACACACCAACTTCAACCAAATTGGTTGGATCACCTTCCCTAGAACACCTGGCAGTTTCCCATCTCTGGGCCTGAACTGAAATAAGGGGAAGTAAAGGTGTAGCATAGTTGGTGCTCAGATATAATTTCTTTCCCTGGACTCCCAAACTCTCAGCTCACAAGGACTAAACCTTCCCTATACTCCCCTCACTACAAATCAAATTCTGCCATCTCTTCCCCTACCTGCTCTGCCAGCTCTCTGCCCTTCTCTGAGTTCATCCACATTATTTTGTTGCTGTCTTATGTTTTTGTTTATCTTTTTTGTGTGTCTTATTTTTCCAGTTAGAATGTGAGTGCTTTGAGATCAGGGGCCCCACACCTTCTTCATCTCCGGGCCCCCAGCTCCCGACCCCATAAGGAGTTTGGAATTGATACAAGTAAAGGTTAGTGTTTTTGGTGGGAGCAAAGGCAGCCTTGGGAAAGGGCATTGAGAGGTAAAGGGAGTACATTCCAACTTTTCTTTTTTTTTTAGAAATTGTTTATTTCCATCACCCTTATTTCCATTCCGTTAAGAAATTGTGGAAGAACAGCTTAAGACCTTCAGTGGTTGTTCCTACCCATTCAGTGGCCTGAGCAGTGGGGGCTGCAGACCAGTCTTCAGTGGCAGGCTGAGCACTCCAGTCTTCAGTAGGAAACTACTGTCTGGGCACAGAGGGCACCTGCGCCCTCAGACCAGGCTGCCACCTCTGGCTGAGCAGTGAACTCGGGAGCTGGAGCAGTCCATTCGCCCTGAAATTTCTCCTTGGTCACAGCCTGTCCAGCAGTGGCCTGCTCTTCCTTTTCAATCTCTTCAGGATCTCTGTAGAAGTAAAGATCAGGCGTGACCTCCCACGGGTGTTCACCGGAGATGGTGCCACGCATGCCCAGTACTTCCCGGGCCAGCATTCACCACATCAGGCCCCCTGAGTGAGCCCCCTTGTTGTTGCAGGGATGGCAATGTCCTCGTAAAGCAGAGGAGAGTCTGTGTTACCCAGAGCAGTGGTCGGCAGGTTAACATAAGACGCCTCTGTGAGAGGCTGCTGGTCAGCCCTGGGATCAGTAACCACCAGCAGTCTCGGCTCCCGGAAGGCTTCCTGGATCCGGTTGGTGAAGGTCCCAGAAGCGAAGTGGCAGCAATAGGAGTGGCTCCCGTGGCAGCAGCGAACTTCAGCGCAGCTCGCTGGCCCGTGTTCCTGGACGATATGACACCGGCATCAGTGGGGTTTTCAATGGCACCAATGGCACGAGCTGCCAGCAGGAGCTTCTCCCAGGTTCCCTTCAGATTTATAATGCAGATGCCATCACTGTTCCTTTTGTAGATGTACTGTTCCATTTGGAAGTCAAGGTTGGTGCCACCTAAGTGGGTTCCTGCTGCAAGGAATTCGAGGACATCCTCATCTTTCATTGGCTGGACATCCAGGGCTCCGGACACTGTGAAAGTTTCTCCTTAAGTTATGTGGAAAAGAGGACAATGCCTATGGGACCCTCTCTGGGTATCCAGAAAGGGCCAGCTCCTCTTCAGGCTCCCTCAGTG